GTATATGGGGCCGGCGTCCTACTCCTTGAGCCACAGGTGCCACCCATAACGGGCATTATTTTCTAACCTTCTGATTCTGATGAGGACCTCACAACCTGGTCTACTGACAGACTATACGCTTCTACCATCACTGTATTTTCACATCTTATGGGTGGGGCTCATCACTCTCATAATTAAAAGGGTAGGTTTACTTTAAACTCTCCTGAAAGAGCAAGAGATGCTTCCTCTACGTACGTCTGTCTTTGACCTCTGCCACCTCAGCTCCTTCAAAGTACTTCAAAATTCAGTTTTCCTTTTATTCCTGTTTTTTTCTTTAGCGCACCTTATACTAATGACATACAGAGACCAGGATGAGGCAAGTCAAGAAAATGAATGCCAGGAGGCAGAAAGCCAAGAAAAGGCAAACTTGTGTTTGGAAAAGGCTTGAACAGAAACTAAGAATCTGCACCGGCGGCCTCTGGATCCTCGGGTTCTGCTGTCCCAGATTCACCCAACCTCAGATCCAAAGTGTGGTTAGGCCTATGATGATCACCTCTGAACTCAAAACGTACAGGCCTCATTTTCCTCATCATTATCCTTTCAACGACACAGTATAAAAACTATTCATATAATAGCTGCATTGAATTAGATACTACAAGTACTCTAGAGATGATTAAAGCATACAGGAGAATGGGCGTATGGTATATGCCGATACAGGCACTCCCCGGGTTACAAACAAGACAGGTCCTGAAGGTTTGGCCTTAAGTTGAATTAGTACGTAAGTTGCAACAGGTACATTTTCCTATTACCAGTAATACCTTCTGTTCATAAGTGCGATTAGTACATCAGCCAGATGTTCGTAATTCAGGGACTCAGTGTAATAGCCTCTATTCGTTAAGTGTGAGTTGTATGTTAAGTCTGATGTTTGTAACTCAAACACTGTCTGTACTATGCCATTTTCTGTAAGGACTCTGAGCGTCCTCAGATTTTGGTAAGCACAAGAAGTCTCAGAACAAATGCCCTGTGAAAATGAAGTGACAACTGTATTTTTTAGTGTCTTAAAATAAAATATTCTTTTTTCCTTGACCTGAAACAAACTCAAAAAACTCAATTAAATTCACATGGGGGGGTAAGGGGTCAATTCCCACCCTATGGGTACAGGGCATGGGTATATGCACAATTCCTGGGTGCAGGCTACGACTACCACTGGACTTTAACCTTATGAAAACAAACTGTGTAACCCAATCATATGTGCCCCATATTAATCTGAAAAAAAAGTTAGACATTCTGCTAACAATCACTTCAAAGGACAAATGGCCCTGTGTTACTATCTAACCGATACTCACTCCATACCTGCCCTATGCCATACGTCACGCGAGGAGTAAGGGAAGCTTTAGCAAATAAAATCTCACTTGCCCTCTTGTGAAATTTATACCCTCGTTGGGGGGGTGGATATTAATCACAAACTTCATTAAATCAGTCTCTAAGTACGGTGGCTCACTCCAGTAATCCCAGCACTCTGGGAGGCCATGGCAGGTGGATTGTTTGAGCTCATGAGTTCCAGACCAGCCTGAGCAAGAGCGAGACTCCATCTCTAAAAACAGCCAGGAGTTGTGGCGGGTGCCCGGAGTACCAGCTACTTGGGAAGCTGAGGCAAGAGGATCACTTGAGCACCACAGTTTGAGGTTGCTGTGAGCTATGCCATGGCACTCTACCAAGGGCAAAGAGTGATACTCTGTCTCAAGAAAAAAAAAAAGTACGTTCTGGAAAAACATAACTCAATCATATCTTATTCAATATTCTCCAAGCGAGATTTCAAAACCAATTCCAAGAACACTACCAAACCAAGAAAAATATGTGCAGATAGGGAATAAAGACGATATGCAGAAAAGTATCTCAGGGGAAACCACCAACAACTCTAAAAGAAACAGTTTCAAGACCGAACACTTAATGTAGTTTTTATATTTAAGAGTTACCTTTATAACCCTTACCCAGAAATTTTTTTAATGAAGCAGAAGCTTTATGCTTCCCCCTCAAAAAGACTTGATCCCCAATTTTCACATTTCAAAGGCATTAACATCTGCAGTTCAGAAATAACAGCAATGTTAAATGCTTCTAAAAAGCTCCAATTTAAAATACGCTACTGCCCAGCTATGGGGACTGACTGTGTTAATGGCCCGGCCACCAGCCTGTCTGTGTCCCCACCCTTGCTCTCCATCTCTGCAGTCCCTGTCCACTGGTTCTGAGCTGAACTCTGGTTCAGCTGAACTCTGGTTCCGGTCAGTTTGATGTCAGCAGATGGTAAGATACATAAGCTCAAAAGGTATGAGGGCATGTGCAGTCCCTGAAAAAGGACAGGACCTGTGCTATTGTCATGAGGGCTGTCTTGATAGAGGCAGCAGCTATGGCTCTACTGCTGACTGTTCATTCATAGCACACCGCATTAGAATACGCTGTGAGGCGGCGAATTGTACGTTAATCATAAGGACATACAGACAGCAGTGTTTCTATTAGGAAAAACAAGTTAACTGACCATCAGTAAGAAGCTGATTAAATGAAGCATCACATCCTACAATGGAATATTCCACATCACTTAAAGGTGGGGATGCTTCTACATTTAATTACATAGAAAGATCTTTTCTAAATATTACAGAATG